AGCCCAGCATCGTGACTGCAGACAGTTAAATAATAACAAGTTTGGTATTTGTGAATCTGCAGAGGAAAACAGTCCCTGTAGGTGAAGCCCATAGTCATCTTTATGTGCCATTACTGTCTGAATATGATAAGGACATAACTCAAGCTTGAATGATCTTTGGAAATTGTGAAGGGCTTAAGCAACAAGAGGTCTATGTACCCTTAAGAATGTCTGCCTCAATCCATTAAACATAGTTCAGGTTAACACCAGAATCTCAAAAGTTATGGAATGCTGCTGCTTCTCAACCAGCAAATCTTTCTAGACTAGGTCTGGGCAATATCTGGTTTTCAACATCGCAATATATCACCAGCTAAACATTGTGATATATTGATATATCAGAATGTTTGAAATAAGGATGGAGCTGTGTAGAGGTATTAGCTAGCTTCATCCCCGCCCCCTGCCCCCAATATTGTGATTTCTGCATGGCACACACACACATACCATGATTGGCCAGGTCAAAAATTATGAAACCAATATCACGAGATGGTCTTCAAACTGGTTTTGGATGATATATCGATATATCGCATAGCCCTATTCTAGACCATGATAGCGACCTAGATCAATTCCACCCTACCTTATATGTATATAGCATTATCTAAAAGCCATGGAAGAATAATGCCATTTTTAGAATATACAAAAAAGTATTGATATAGTATCAAGCTTTTGGGTCCCCCATAACTCTGGAGGGAAACCAATACAATATGGGGAAGTGGGGAGGGTATCTGGTCATGATACTGATGCGCAAGTTTACAGGGTTGTTGTTGTTGTTTTTCTGTCACAGAAGGCTCCAAGACTGCTATTTAGCTTTGTTCAAAGTTGCGTCCCATTGTTTTCAAATGACATTCTTCCCATTAGTTTGTGTGTGTGTCTATATGTGTGTTGATCTGCAAAATACAGCTTTGAAGGGGCCAGTGTGGGAAAGGGCACTTGGAGGCTTGGTGAGGGAGGACAGAGTTTGAGTTTACTAAGAAGGGTGTACAGGATGGGCGAGAGGACCAAGGGGACACATGTCCTCATGTTGATGAAAGAAGCTGAGGGACCTGAAAGGGGCACTTGACTGGTGGGGAATGTATGAGGAGTGCTGAGGAATTTCCCACTGTTTTGTATGTTAAAAAGTGTTCTGCTATGGCATCGTAGCATTTTAAGTTGTGAGAATTAGAGCAGCTGAGTCAGTGCCAGTGAGGCCATGGCCAGAGGCCCTATAACAAGGCACTGTGTGACCCTGAACTTGCCAGCCATATTTTATATTATATACATTTTTAACTTAGTTGAAACTGAGGATAATGTTGAGAACTACTTTATTTCATATATTCTGCATTGAGGTAAAGATCAGGAAAGGCAATGATCTTTCCCCCTTTTCACATTTTTGAAAGTTTTCTAGAGGTCACAAAATTGCAACCTTTCCCTATCTTATATTTCCTTCTCTGAAGGTTTCTGTTGGACACAGCACCCTGAGGTGGGATGACTTAGCTAAATGCCACGTCAAAAGATATAAGAATATTAATTTGAAGACATTTTTATGGTATATGTGATCGGTAGCCACTTAAAATTCCTGTCCTGTGAGCAACATGTGAGAAGGTGGTAACAAAGATCCCGATTTAGATGGTTGAAACTGAATAGAATAAATGAGATTATTTGCTCTGGCCCAGTCCGTATTCTTTCTCCATATTCTACCCTTTTCTACATTCTTGTGAAACAAGCTAAATGGCTGGTAGGGTCATTTTCATTTTCTCTTCTTTCCCATCCCAAGTTATTTCACTTCTTTGTCTTTTGTTATCTTATTATGAATTATTTTTTTTAGTGTCAAAATTGGGTCAAATATACTTGCAGTGCAATCCTATACAAGTGCAATCCAATTTAGTGTCAAAATTGGGTCAAATATACTTGCAGTGCAATCCTATACAGTGCAATCCAAAAGTCAACCTCGCTGAGTGTAATAGGGCTTACTTTCGGGCTAGTGGAAGGATAAGGCTAGGATTATAGCCTTATGCATTAACTGTAACCTGTTTCTGAAAACCAAAATAGTATGTCTGCCTATCCATTGGGATTGGGACTGTGGTGGGCATGGAGGGGTAATTTAACTCTTTCCCTCCCAGTCACAATCCCAATGTAAACCTTCCTCTTTCCTCCAAAGCTGCTTGTTATATTGAGAGAAAAATAGTGGCTTCAGGAGAGCGAGGTGATTTTCATCAGGGCCATACAAGGGGGAGATTGGTTAAACAATCCCTCTATGCCCACCATGTTTCTGATCTTGCTATTTTGGTTTTTAAGAACCTGTCACTTCAAGTGCAAAAATGTATTTAGTGTAAAATTTAGTTTAGCCCTTGCTGTAATCCTAAAAATTAAGGGTGTGCATCAGATTTGGACAGATCCTGAACCCGTCACTGAGATAGGCTGCCTTAGTGGGATTCTGGGGATTTTAAGGCAAAGCTAAATCTGCGCCTGAGCCTGAGCCAAACCCCACCCTCATATAAATAAATACCCCCCAAACCCAGACATTGCCTTAAAAATTTAAAAATACCCCCAGATGGGCATGTTGCCCCCCCCCAAAGAGGAGATGTCCAGGATTTCCCGGACGTATGAAAACCCTACCCTATTGGAACCAGTGGGATTTTCTTCTGAGTAAAATGCAGAGGGTGGTGATTCTCTCACCACACACACACACACACACACACACACACACAGATAAAATTTCCAAAAAAAGAATTATTCATATGTATATACAGTGGGTGCACTTTAATCAACTCTGCATACAATTCAATACTAAAAGTGTAAATGGAAAGGTCCAACATTGATTATCAATGTAGTTTAAATTATGGCTGTTGATTGCACTCATCTGATGTTGCAAAGTGCCCTGCCCTTGGCAATTTGGCTCTAGGCAGCTGACTGCCTTTGAAGGTCAGTGTAGATCCTTTGTAGTTACGGATTGACAGATCAGACTGTTTCTTTACCAGTGGCATTCTTATAGGTCCATTCCATCCTGGGTTTTGCAGATTTACAATTGTATGCATTTTGTATTTATAATACACATGCCCAAATGGTGGAACACAGGACAGCGATAAGTCTGGATACAAACGATTGAAAATTTTGCCTATGGTTTGCCTGGATAAGTGAGGATGACAGAGAGAACATAGCAGTCCTCAAATATCTGAAGGGGTGCCATGCAGAAGGTGGAGCAAACTTGCTCTTTGCTACTCCATAGGGCAAAACTCGAACTAACAGGTGAAGACTTTGGGAAAGCAGACAGCAAGAGCTATTTGACCATGGAACAGACAGCCTTGTTGGTGGATGGACTCTCCTTTCCTAGAAATATTTAAGCAGAGGTTGGACAACCAACTGCCTGGGATGCTGTAGGTGTAGCCTGCATTGTGAATCCTGCACTTAGCAGGGGGTTGAACTAAATGACCTCACAATGTTCCTAGGGTGTGGCCTAGGAAGAAGTTGATGTCACAGCAACAGTACTGAGGAAACCTTGTAAATGATTTTAAATAAATAACTGTTATTAATGTGAAGCAGTCTCTGGTGAATTTCTTAATCTGCAATACAATAATATAAATAAGCTTTGGGATGAGGGTTGACTAATTAAAATAAAGGTTGCCTTTGCTTGGCTTAGGGTTGGCTCCCAGGTCTGACACATACTGTACATCCTATGCTATTCAACAGCAAGCTATGTTTTTAAAATGTGTTTCTTACGAATACGTTTTAATCTGTTCACAAATACTTGCCAGAATAATATTGCAAGCAGGGCATTCCTCCTGCACATTGCTATTGGTTCCTTGTGAGACTGAGTTTTGTGTAATTTTGTCTGAAATTTTCATGGGTTTTATGAAAAGTAACAATTTATGTGAAAAGAGATTCTTCTTGAAAATCAATTCAGCAGCATGAAGTAATGTACTTGCCATGTGGGAATATTAATAGGAAAGAAAAATGACATGGATATATAAGAAATTAAACTAGATCCCAGGAGAGTAGATATCTGTGAGCGTTGCAATGAATACTGTAAAACATATAGCCCACCATTTTGCAATCAAAAGAAAAACATATGTAGAAAATTATTTTTCAATCTCACTCCTGTGATAAGATATGTATATAGGAGGCATAGAATAGAACAAGTCCCATGCCCATTGTAACTGAAAGCAGAAAGTCTGTTGATTTCAATTAATGCTGGAAACAAGTATAGCTTTTATAGTGGCCATATACAATGAGCCACCATTTGGGCTGCAATGTTGCTGACTTCTTTCTGTGCAAGGACTGGGCAGTCCCTTGGTTTGGGTTTCACAATGGGATAGTAGTGGTGGGTTATGTTAGTGCGTGAATGCCAACTCTTTGGAAACCTTTTATTTGTGCCAGCAGAGCTCCATAGAAATTCTCCCTGCATCTTCACAGCAGCAGCAGCAGTCCAGCCCTCTCTTGGTGAATTTCCATGACAGGCATAAACACCTCATCCATTGAGTTCTTCTCTTAATGTCTTTGTTATTTACAAGTTGTATTACACTACTGGTCTACATAAAGAAAACAAATCAGAAACAGAACTATATACAAAGCTCTTCTGTCCTCTGCCATCTGGCCAGAGAGACATACTCTGGCAACACACACTGACCAATGCTGATTCACACACGCCAACCTTCCTCACCCGATCACATGACCTAAGAAGGATATGAGTTGCTGTGGAGAATTCTCATTGCTAAGCAACTGTTCAAGGCCATTACAAGTTTATGTTGGCAATACACCAGTAGGGCGGGTGCCAGATTTCAGGTGTGCAGGATCTACTTTGATTTTCATTACAACCCTAAGATCTAGATGCAGACGAAGTAAACAGGTGGTGTCAGCAGGAGAGGGCGGGCCATGGACACCATGTCTCTTGGCAACAGGGTGGTTCCAGAATAGGGCTCTGGCTGTCTCCTTGCCAAGTGGCAAAATAAGCTCCTCCTCCTCCTCCCCTCCTCACAATCTGGGCTGATCCCAGCTGTCCCTGAGGAGGGGAAGGATGTCTGGTTGCAGAACAGCCACTGCTTCTTAAAAGTTATTCATGTGAGTATCACATCCTTAATGTATTTAAAGAGGAACCTCTCTATTGTATGTAAGCTGCTTTGGGAGCCTTTTGGAATGAAGAGTGTGGGATGATGATGATGATGACAACAGAAGAAGAAGAAGAAGAAGAAGAAGAAGAAGAAGAAGAAGAAGAAGCAGAAGAAGCAGAAGAAGAAGCTCAATTTTGGTATAAAAACTGCACACTTTGAATTACAGAATTCTGAATCCAGGAATTTATTTCGAGTACAAAAATTGAATAGAGACACACAAGAATCCACCCCTGGTTACCCATCCCTCAGCTTTCCTCATTTCAGCAGTTTAGTGTAATTTTGTTCCTGCTATTTTAAACAATTAGGGTCAGAGATCTTTGCTGATATACTGCCAATCATCCCAGAGGTGGGCAGAAAGCAGATCATAATCTACTGGCAGTATATCAGCCAGTAGATTATGATCTGCTTTCTGCCCACCTCTGGGACAGAGGATACTCTTCTGAGATTCTACAGCAGGGTCAGGGATTAAGATCAAGCTGGCAGGCTGGATCTTGAGCTCCCTTTTTTGACTCGTGGCCCACTTAAGTAGGGATGCCCACCTATCAATCTCCTGACATCACTATGGGGTTCCATATTCCTCTTCTAAATTATAACCCAAAGTACAGTGTGACTTACATAAAAATATCATAATTTTTCAGTCTTCCCCTGTGAAACTCTAGGACTGTTTTTGTTTGTTTGTTTGTTTGTTTTGTCAGGATGATTGACAGGATGCTTAGGGCACTGTCACTGATGCTTAGGACATTTTTGGATAGATGGTCTATCCCTTATAATGCCATTACTACCCTTGTGTTGATAAGTCAGTTCCTGTGACACTAACTATGGAAATGGTCATGCGACTACAATTCTCATATTCTTTACAGTAGCCCAATAGAGGCCCAGCCATGCAGACATAGATCTGTACTGTTTGCATGGAAAAAGGAAAAGCAAAGTTTCTGGTGCCCTCCTCCTCCATTAGGGGAAGCAATAAGAAGCAATATGTTTTGTTGTTTTCTTATTTGGAGCAGACATTATGCCATCTATTAAGATAACTGGCATTTCAACAGAACCACCAGTTCACTTACAATTTGAGAAAGCTTCTTGTGTGCTTTCACCATTAATAAAAGGAGCACTGCTTATTAACGTTGTTGGATGCATTTCACCTTTCCTACCTTCTTCCATCTTGCCCCTCCAAGGAGTAAGTGAAAGCTCACAGAATACTTTCCCAGTATTCCCCCCCCCCCAGGAAGTAATACATTGCAACCATAGGGGGCAATGCAAGCTTATTGGTGGAGCTCCAGGCTGCATGCACACGTAGGTGTCAGCTGTACACACAGGATTACCAGGCTACTGTATGCAGAGAATGTATTCCTCTTGGTTTACATAAACTAACTTATGATTAAAAGTAAAGCTGTATTGTGCCTTTGCCTCCGAAAGTTCAGTTTCTCACTTGTCTTTAGTCTTCTTGAGTTGATATGAAGAAGGCAGCAATTTATTTTGCTCTGATCATTTACAGTGCTGCACACAAAGCAAGCGAACATGTAATTTTGATGGCGTCAAAGTTGAAACAGGCTGGTGTTAGTATGAGCCTCTTGGTGTGCGCTGACTACAATCTGTCAGTATTTCTGACATAATTTAATTTCTGCAAGTGCATTTCTCCCTGACATAATTTATACACCCTAATATAAATCCCAAGTGTTGAAATCGAACTTGTACCTAAATTGTATTGGAATTTTCATGGTATCTATTTATTACAAAAAAAAGCAACAACACTGAATAAAATGTAATTGTCATAACAATAAAACTGTATTTATACATTACGTTATTCAGTTGTATTTACTTTCGCTGATTGGAAAGCTCTTTACAGGAAAAGAGCAGAGAATGAAAATAATGATAATTTCCATATCCTCCAGTATAATGCATGACTACGAGTGTAGGTTTCCCTGCCCCCTCTTCTGTAATACAAGATTATTTAGGAGAAACACAACTGAACTACTATTAACATGATTAGAGGAGCTGCTCTTACAGCCTATTTTCCCTTATTTTCATTTTGTTTCATTGTAAAACATGTTTTAGACAATTACTATTTACCAGGGATTTCTTGGGGGGGGGGGAATGTAATGTTCAACCTGAATGTTAAAATGCACTCTCTGTTTTGAAGCTGATAGAAATATCATTTAAATTGAACTCTTCATGCAAAAGTACAGCAGATAAATCACTTAGCAAATAAACACTCCATCAGTTGCAGATTGGAAGTATCAAGCCTTCTTGTGTGGTATTTTTTGATAGGTATATGATGTTTAGGACCAATCTATGACTTTAAAATATTAGCAGGAATCCCAATTGTTGAGAATCAAGAGGGGAGAGATATCTGCAGAAGTAGAAAGCAAAAGGGGGGGGTACCTAAAGGAGCAACACTAAGAACACCAAGTATAATCCAGATACTCCAAGACTGAGAATGCTAAATGGCCACAGAATGCTGAGGGGGAGAAACACAATGGGAAATCCTAAATGAAGGCATGACTGTCTGGCTGTCTGGAACATCAAACAGAAATGCTCCATGCTACAAAAGGTTTTGGGTTCAACTTTTGAGCTCTAAAACGCAGGTGCTAGTGGAGTCTAGAACTGTTTAGCTCTGTGTTTCATGTGGAGAGCGAAGCAACTCTCTGGCTCACCTGTGCAGGCACTTCTTCCTGGGAGTAAGGAGTAATGGAAACTTCCTATCTTACTGGTGCCTTTTTTGGAACACCACCGTCTACCTTTGTTCTGGTATGCCTCTGGGTTTCTAGTCAGTCTTTGAAACCAATTCTTGGCCTGTTCTCCAGTCCCGCATCTGGTTTTGTCCTCTCCTCCTGCTTTGCCTTCAGTCCTGACTCCTGGCTTTTTCTCCACTCTTGCCCTCTTGTTTTTACTCTTGACAGCCCGGCAACCCAGACTCCTGGTTCACTCCAGAGATTGGTGCCAAAGGATTAGCTCTGTAGCGGGTTGGTGGGTACAACTAAGTGCCTGCAAATCCTTTCCACAATAGGCTTCTTAGTGCTTTCTGAAGCATAGTTCTGCAGTCACCTAGAAGTGAAAAAGCAAACAAACACTGGTTCTGTTTCAACCACAAATATAGCACAATATGCTGCATAACAATTCTGTAATGCCCATCCCTATGGGGAAGTTTGTTAGTCTGTTTGCTCAAAAGTAAGTACTGTTTGAGTCTAGAAAATGTGCTTAGGAATCCAACAGTTTCCCCATTTGGTGTGGTTTAAAGCAGTTCCTACTTCTCCTGGCCACAGATGAGATCTGTCCATTAAGTGATCATTTTCTGTTCCTTCTTGCCTCACATGCATGATTAAAAAACACAGGAAAACATTCTTGGATCAAAACAAGTGACAACATTATTGTTTATATATGCAAGTTAATTTGGCTCAGGCATTGGGTGATTTCCCATTCAGTTAGCCCATATGGCGGCTGTTGACCAGGGAGTTGATTCTGGGTAGGATTGTCCTGTAACTTACATCATAAAGGAGCAGCCGACTTAGGGAGTGTGTATGAACAAAAACATCTCCCCTAGGTGAACATACTGTTAGTCATTGCTTTACTCTCTCTTTTCTTACTGATCAATCGAACTAACAAGATTGTGTGAAGTAAAGAATGGAAGTTACCCTTCTCTTAGCACTCAGATTGTAAACAACAACACTCCAAAATAACCATTCAAAACTAAACATGTTAGAATGAAAACCATAGGAACAAATGACTCGACTGAACCTAAACCACTGAACTGCTTAGCATCCAGTAAAAGCCCATGCTGCAGATAAATTAAAATGATGACTGAATGGGCAACCTTGCATTAAAAAGCATGTACAAGGATTGCCTCTTTCCTTGAGCTGGTGCCCACTTAATCACAGTCCCTTAATTGGTCACAATTGATATCACAAAAGCGCCAATCCACAATAGGACCCTTTAGTAAACCTGAGTCACTGAAAAACACCCAGAAGCAGGATAAAAATGCTTGTTAATATAGTGCAACATCCCCCATTATAGCCCCACAGCTCCCACCCCCACATAGCTAGACTTGCAAAGCTTGGGGGTGCCGCAGAATCCCTACAAAATCCCCACAGCCCACCTTACGACAAATGTGCAGGTCTAAAAACTGTTGACATTAGAGGGAATGTAAAGGTAAAGGTACCCCTGCCCGTACGGGCCAGTCTTGACAGACTCTAGGGTTGTGCGCTCATCTCACTCTAGAGGCCGGGAGCTGGCGCCGTCCGAAGACACTTCCGGGTCATGTGGCCAGCGTGACGAAGCTGCACTGGTGAGCCAGCACCAGTGCCGCACACGGAAACGCCGTTTACCTTCCCGCTATAAAGTGGTACCTATTTATCTACTTGCACTTAAGAGTGCTTTCGAACTGCTAGGTGGGCAGGAGCTGGGACCGAACGACGGGAGCTCACCCTGTCGCGGGGATTCGAACCGCCGACCTTACAATCAGCAAGTCCTAGGCACTGAGGTTTTACCCACAGCGCCACCCGCGTCCCTTAGAGGGAATGAGGGAGGAAGAAAAACAAAGAACAAAACTAGAACCATCCAAGTGCAACATTTTGATTGGTTTTACTTATTTTACTTATTTATACAATTTCACTATTGCAAAAAAGGAAGGAAGGAAGGAAGGAAGGAAGGAAGGAAGGAAGGAAGGAAGGAAGGCAGGCTCCAGTATTTATTGTTATTAAGGACCAAAATGCCAGAAATTAGCCTGCTGAATTAAAAGCTGCATTGCACTGAAGAACATGCACTTAGAGATACAGAAGATGAGCAAGCTGAGCAGTGAATACTTTGCTTGTCTTGGGTCCATAAGAGACACTCATGGGCAGTACAAGGCAGATGTCTTTATGAGGGTCAACGAAGCACCTTGCTGTTCATAAATGATCCAGAGCATAGCAATTGCCGATTAGATGTGTGTATGTGTGTTTTGTGTCCAGCTGGTTAAAAACTTAAATCTTATCTTGTTGAAGCAAGTTATTTCTTCTCTATACTTTGCATTGTGATATGGCTATTAGTAAAAAAGACCTTTAGAAGGAGAAACACCATTCTCTCTGAATTCATAGACACACTGAAATCATTCTGATAAACATATCTTAGCTTATTAAACCAAAGTATAAGCAGTCATTTTGTTTGTGTGTAGAGCCCCTTCATTCCTCCTTTAGTCTGAACTGAGATAATATGGTGACATGCCCTTGAACGACTCATAGGATTAGACCATCTTCAAGCCCTTGTTTAATGTTCCAGCTGTTTCTAAAGTTTACAACCGTAGTTCCCAAATTCCGATGATAACCTGGTACAGTAGAATTAAATATATGGCTACTGTATAATCATGCATTTTGGGGGAGTAACCAGATGAGCAGAGCATAATGAAACACTACCCTTATTTAATGGAAATTGGCAAAATATTTGACTATGTTATATATTGGTTTGTTTTGATCATGCAGGTTCTGGCTTTCATCAGGAATATGCTGACTGGAAATGGCAGAATAGCAGGTAGGGGATACTTCCTTTCATATACTCTGTGGAGGAGGAGATTTGAGCACAAGAGATTGTATACATCATAGAAGAAAGTTAGTGGACATTGATCAATATTGTGTTCAGTATATCCAGGGCTTTTTTTCAGCCGGAGTTCACCGGAGCTCAGCTCCGGCACCTCTCAGGTGGGTGCCATTGCCATCTAAGAGAACAAGGGAGAGGCACATGGTGAGCTCTGGCACCTCTTTTCCTAGAAAAACAGCACTGGTTATGTCTTTTATAGCACAGAAACCATTTCCATGGAAGCTTTGTGAATATTAAAGCATACGCTTTAGAAATCCATTATATTTGTCACCTTTTCGCTGTATTGTGGGTAAGGTTTGCTTCAATGCAGATGAGGAACACAAGTGCCAACTGACAATATGAAGACGCATTTCACTCCTAGAGACTGAGAATATGTCACAGTATTCTTAAAATGATATCTTTTCAAAGGCTTAAAGCTGGACACTTCACATCACAAGGGGATATTCAATATTTCAAAAACTTATATTGGGCAAATTTTCCTATGCCATTCTGCCCTAACAAAATCCATTTCATGTTTTTCTAATGATTACTAAGGCAAGAGATAACGTATTTTGTATGATTGCTGTGGCTGACATAAAAATTAGAATTCGTTACCTTTCAGAGTGTAGTAATAAAGGGGCAAGGGGCAAGGCACTTCATAGTGCTTTTACTTTTTAGCCTTATGAAAATCTATGTGCTTCAACAGCAATATCCATATGCAGTGTAATATATGTCTGTTAGCAAATACAGCTAAAAAAGCTGCCTCCTGGGGAAAAAACCATTTTTGAAAAGACCTGCTCTAAAATCAAAATTGAATTATCTTGGTCAATATTTTTTGCTTTTAATTTTAATGGCAAATATTAATAGAGCCCTCTAAATAAATAAATAAATAAATGAAAAGCCGGGGACAAACTGATCCCCCTCATCCCCCATCTTTTGTTGTTGCAGCGCTGTTTGTATTTACATCCAGTCATTTATTGCCCATTAAAGAAGTAATGCTATGTTAATGTAAGGGAAAAAATCAATGCTACTCAGATCAGTAGCTGTGGGGAAACAGTGCAGCAGCTGGTTTGCAAACAGCAAGCCCACATAGATCAATGAAATTACAAGCTAAATCTGCTGATGCTCACAAACCGCTCCAGCATTGTGAAGTCTAACCTTTCTCAAGTTCAAGATCTCTGGCAAGCCAGCAATTGCTAAATGAAAAGGAGGGTGGGGAGGAGAGAGAAAGGAAAAGAAAGAGAACATATCAGTGGACTTGTTTGGAATTTTCAGCATCATATGTAATATTCCACTTTTGAAGTTATCAGTATAACTGCACGTTTGTAACAGATATAAAAGCCTCTGTAATCTCTAAGTGAGCAATGCTGCAATCTGCACACTTGGGAGATTTTCTTTTCAAAAAATGTTCAAATCTGTCACATATTACCTTGAACTGTAACACTGGAGGGGTAGAGAGCACTTCTGTAATGTGTTTCGTAATGTGAATTCCAGGAAATAATTTATAAATGAACAACAGCAGGACTTCTGGGATGTGCTAACGGCCTTTTGTTTCATGCCTTGAATGGTTGCCTTAAAAATATTCCTTTAACTTTGTATAATTAAATCTGTACATATTGCAAGATAGAGTCATGTTGATCCTTTACACACATTTGCCACACAGGAAAACAACCACCATGGAAACAGTAAGAATGCAATCCTAGAGAAGTCTGCTCAGATATAACCCCCATGGAGTTTAATGGGGCTTACTCACAGGTAAGTGAGTATAGTATTGCTAATATTATACATTGCTTGCTTATTTTTGATTCTTCACTGAGTGTTGACTATGTGATGCAAAGAATGCACACCTCTGGCATAACCAAGCTTTCCTGCTCACTTCACTGCCAATGGCGGGTAGCACATATTCATCTATTTTCATGAATGCAAATGTACCCTTTTTGGAAGTGAATAGGGAAGTTCTTATAGATATCAGAGGTTTGTGTTTTCCCTCTGAACTCGCTCAGAAACCAATACTATTTGTTTGCCTTTATCTATTCCACAAATGCCAGCTTTGAAGGGGCATGTTTGGTGAAGAGAGGAATACACTGAAAGAGTATGCACACATTCCAGCTTGTCAATATCCTTCTTAAATTGTGGTGCCCAGAACTGGAGACAATAATCCAGGTGTGGTCTGACCAAGGCAGAATAGAGCAGGACTGTTACTTCCCTTGATCTGGACACTATGCTTCTGTTGATGAAGCCAGAATAGCATTAGGTTTTTGTTTTTGTTTTGCTGTTGCATCACACTGTTGATTCACGTTAAACTTGTGGTCTATTAAGACCTCTAGATCTTCTCACATGCACAACTGTCAAGCCAGTTGGCTCCCATCTTATATTTGTGCAGCTGGTTTTTCCTGCCTAAGTGTAGAACTTAATATTTGTCCCTACTGAAATTAATTTTGTTAGTTTGAGCCCAGTTCTCCAATCTGTTAAAGTAATATTGAATTTTGATTCTGTCTTCTGTGGTGCTAGCTACTGGTCCTAGTTTGGTATCACCTGCAAATTTGATGCACATCCCCTCAATTCCTTCACCCTGTAGAACCCCACTTGTCACTTTTCCCAGGATGATAAGGAACCATTAAGGAGGACTATATGGGTTCAGTTACTCAACCAAATCCACCTAACAGTAATCTTATCCAGCCCACATTTTACCAGCTTCTCTGCAAGAATATCATGGGGAACTTTGTCAAAAGCCTTACTGATATCAAGATACACTATATCCACAGCATTCCCCTCATCCACTAAGCTTCAAAAAAAGAAATGAGATTTGTCTGGCATGACTTGTTTTTGAGAAACCCATGCTGTGTTTAAGTAATCACAGCATCCTTTTCTAAGTGCTCACAGACTGACTGCTACCTAGGTCTTCTTTCCTTTCCTTTTTGAAGATGGGGCAACATTTGCCTTCCTTCAGTCTGCAGGGACTTCACTTGTTCTCCAAGAATTATGAAAAGTTATAGACAGAGGCTTTGAGATTACATCTGCAAGCTCCTTTAGTATCCTTGAGTGGAGCTTATGAGGTCCTGGAGATTTGAATTCAAAGTAGCTGCACAATGAGTTAAGCGTATTCGTATTTTGGAGGGGAAAAAACATGATAGGAGATTTAGGGTGGTGTCTAGAGTTAGTCCTATTACCCTGAATAGGAATAATGTTGGCTACAACCCTTAATATTTTATGTAGAGTGGATGATAAAAGAAACATGTACAGTGGTGCCTCGCAAGACGAAATTAATTCGTTCCGCGAGTTTTTTCGTCTTGCGAGTTTTTTCGTCTTGCGAAGCACGGTTTCAATTTTTTCAAAAAAATCTTCAAAAACCTCAAAAAAGGCTACCACACCGCGTGCTATGAGTTGCTCCCCGAAGTCAAGTCGCAACTGCACTTCTTCAAGCAATGCACCCTGTATTACTGTAACGGTTTTAAGAAAAAGGAAACAAACTTGCAAGATGTTTCCGTCTTGCGAAGCAAGCCCATAGGGAAATTCGTCTCACGAAGCAACTCAAAAATCGAAAAACTCTTTCGTCTTGCGAGTTTTTCGTCTTGAGAGGCATTCGTCTTGCGAGGTACCACTGTATCCTTCCCAGCAAATGGAAACTACCACCCTATGTCCACTTACCTGAGAGTAAGTATGAATGTATTTGATGGGACTTTCAGATTAGACATGCATTGGCTTGTGCTGTGTGTGTTTCACTCCAGCATGCTATCAGCACATCAGGAGCAAGCAGAGGAATGAGGAATTAGTTTGATAGTCTTGGATACTTCTTTTCTTGGTCCAGATAAATCTATCTATCTATTTACAAGATTTCTAGCTTACCTTTCGGAGTGTTACACACATTAAAACCTGATTCACCGTAAACAATGGCCAATAAAAGGGAGAAAAAGAGAGACGTGTCAGATAAATACAGTGAACATCCATTTAATTGCATACTACTGCATTTTTTTCCTTGCTAGGAATTTCTCTCATCCCCAGAAAGATATAAAGCAGATCAACAAGACTTATATAATCCAAAACTTTTGAAGGGTGTATCTGCTTGCAATACCTGTGAAACATAATGATGTGTATTGTTATATTTGGAAGTTATAGACCACAATCTATTTATACGGAACTAATACTTTTAGTCAGCAACATGTACATCGACATCAAAAGATGCATTCAGTTTATCGCGGGAGGCTAATATGACCATCGTGACAAAGATGTGCCTCTGATCTGTTCCTGAAAGAAAGTAGAGAGGCCCTTTCATGCACGGGAGCCTTAGGTGTACATGGGTGCCTTTTTGTGTATCAAGAGCCAATAGACTGTGCTGAGCCTTTTGTCTTAAATCTAATATTTAGGGAACTGAAGGAAACAAGACAAGGATTATCTATGACATTTTCATTTTTAGATACAGTGCTATATTTGCTGGTAAAGCAAATGGCTGTCATGCATTCATTGAATAGTGTGAGTAGTAATAATAATAAAAATCCATCCACTCTGAGCCTAGGATAAGCTTTAATTTGTTCCATAGGCAAATAGGAAAATGGCTGTGTTTGTTTTGCAGCTACAGTAATGCAGACAAATAAAAATGAAATATGTACACTGTAAGAAACTCTTATATTCCAGCACTGGAAACAAAGCAGGCAATGGACGTGGGTAGCCTTTTTGAACCTTCCCTTCCCCCCTACTATTATACCCCCCCCAAAAAAAACAACCCAAGAACATTTCCATACCCAGTGATCCTAAGCAATAATTCCTCTTTACTGCAATAAGTACCTGCTTTTGAGGAAGAGAAAGCTGATGAGCTGCAGGCTTCCCTGCTGCTAAATTCATTTAACAAGCTACTCCTGATGTTTTCTGCTTTTAAGGCCAATGGGAACATTATAGATTCTTTTTACCCCCTCCTCAATATCACAGTGAACCAGAAACTTATCTACTGAGGTAATGGCCCAAGGTTCAGAGCATCAGAGCAGGATATTGTCCCCATCCACAAAAAAGAACATTTACTCAAAAGTGTTGCTTGCTATTGGTATACTGAAGCATACATGGACCTTCGCCCCAGGCCCTTGTATCCTATAATGCTAGTGTGAACTTCAGAATTCCCGTGCACACATAGAGCTCTATACAACCAAAAGCTTCCCCATTATTTGCACTGTCAAGGAAATGTCTGTGAACGCCGTTGACCTTGCACATTTAGACTTCTCAGACTTTGAAAAGCCTGGAAAAGTTTGTGCTCGTGAATTTTTTAATGCAAAGTAGAATACAGAAAAGCTTTAACTCTGTGGCAAACAGGGTAGGGGGGCTTGTGTGTAGATTTTGTAGTGAAACTAAAAGGCAACACAGCAGCAGTATGGCAGGAGGTTGGGGTGGAGTGGAGTGGAGTGGGGGACAGCAAGGCCAAAAGTCAGGTCCAACGAACTGACAATTCTCAGCCTTGTGGAATAAGCGTATCCTTACCCTTTTGCCCTTAATGGCTAAGGAATTGTGAGCTGCATCGTTTCTGCCCTGTTGAAAGGGAGAGGGAGACACATGTATCCAGTCTCTACTCTTGTTTTGTGCCTTTTCCCCTTCATCATTCTCACTGCCATCATTAACATACAAATGTATGACTGAAAAAGTTATTATTTATAGAATTTATATCCTGCTCTTCCTTGGGACTGATCTCAGGGTGGGTAACAGCAAAGCAAAATAAAATAAGTAAAAACAGAACTCACAGTGAAAGCAATCTAGTAAAACGTCTGACGTCTGTTATCTGCCACCATGCAGGCTCCCTGTCACACCAGAAGTGTCTGTGAGAAGAGACGCTTTTATCCAAAAGTTAAAAGTTGCTACTAGCTGAACCTTAGGGAAGGGCAGAGTGTTCCATAGCCAGGGTGCTATTGCCAAGAAGAACAACACAATTGTATAGGTGTTCTTTTGGGATGGCCATGTGTCCTACGTTACAAAGGACAGCTCTCCATTTGAAGGGCTGTCTGACCCAAGTCCAGTTTTGAAAACACCTGGATCGCAAGACTGAGCAAGGATACAGGTCACCTAGTCATAGCCTGCCCTACTACATTGAGATGTATTGCTTTTGTATTTAAATTATAGTAATTATTTCTAATTTTGCATCTATGCATATGGATTAGCATATGCAAATTTTATGCATGTCAGTGCTCTCTCTCTTTTCACCATAAGTGACCTCTTTTACCTTCCTTCCTGGCATGCCACCTAATGCCCTAGTCCAGTGGTTTGGAGATGCAAAGGGGTGCACTTGTTTACAACTAAAGGAATGGAGTGGTCCGTTTCTACTTACGGAATCGAACTCTGCCCCTCCCAAGCCACTGGTGAGTAGGGTGGATTAGGTGCAGGATAAGACGGTGCTATCTTCTTGGTAGCATCTCTTCCACTTAAAATCCACAAAGTCCTCATGGGCCCCAGAGTTGCTTCTCGTCTGTTGTGTGGGGAGGCCGGGAAGTAGCATGGGCAGAAGTCCTTTGCATGCAGACCTCATGGAGGCTGCGCTATGAGCTGTTTGTTTTGTTAAAACAAGTGTTTTTGAAGTCAGGAGTCACTTTAAGATCTGTCAAACTTTTCCTGTCAACCTTCAGAGGTCAAAACCAGATGTGACACCTAAAATTCAAATGCAATTAGTTGGAGATTTACTGGGATTGTATGCCAATCTCCCAGTAGCTTAGAAGTGACATAGCATCTAACCTTTGGCAATCCCAAGAGAGGTTCAGGTGGTTATAGCAAACTATATTGGGGAG